GCTCTCTCAGCCTCGGAATCAACAAGCATCTTCATTGTAAAATGTGATAAATGTGCACGCTTTGGGCCATGGTGTTGGGCCCATGTGGTTGTTGGGCCATGACTTTGGAGCCCTGCTAAAGGACCAGCCTGAGAAGCCCTTCGTTCCCCTCAGCACGACTGACACTGCATTCTTTGCTGTGAGGGCCCGTCGCGTGCATTGCAAGGGGTCTTAGCAGCATTCCGGACCCCTACCCGCTGGGTACCAGTAGCAAACCTCCTAGTTGCGACAACAATGTCTGCAGACATTGCTAAATGTCCCTGGGTCAGGGGGCTGGCTGGAAGCACAGTTCAGGGGACAGGTGTGGGGCCCACTCCTGTACTGCCCTGCAGGGGGACCCGCGGGGGCTGAAGGCTCCTAGATGAGGCATCTATAAATGGAACCATGTTAGCCGGTGACTACAGCCACATTAGCTTCGTTTCAAATACAATGTCTGGAGTAGATTCCCATGGTTCATCGCTTACATACAACACCCAGTGCTCATCCCAACAAGTGCCCTCCTCAATGCCCATCACCCCTTCTCCCCACACCCCACTCAGCCCTCAGTTTGTTCTCTGTATTTAAGAGTCTCTTACGGTTTGCCTCCCTCTCTGTTTGAAACTATTTTCCCCCTTCCCTTCCCCCATGGTCTTCTGTTACGTTTCTCAAATTCCACATATAAGTGAAAACATGGTATCTGTCTTTCTCTGCCTGCCTTATTTCACTTAGCACAATACCGTCCAGTTCCATCCATGTTGTTGCAGATGGCAGGATGTCGCTCTTTCTCATGGCCGAGTAGTATTCCATTGTATACATAAACCACATCTTTATCCATTCAGCAGTTGATGGACATTTGGGCTCTCTCCATAATTTGGCTATTGTTGATAGTGCTGCTATAAACATTGGGGTGCCTGTGCCCCTGTGAGTCAGCACTCCTGTATCTACTCCTGAAGCCAAGAGCACACCGTATACACTATATGCTAGCTAACTTGACAATAAGTTATATTTAAATAAATAAATAAATAAATAAATAAATAAAGGGGCGCCTGGGTGGCTCAGTCGGTTAAGCGTCCGACTTCAGCTCAGGTCACGATCTCACAGTCCATGAGTTCGAGCCCCGCGTCGGGCTCTGAGCTGATGGCTCAGAGCCTGGAGTCTGCTTCTGACTCTGTGTCTCCTTCTCTCTCTGCCCGTTCATGCTCTGTCTCTCTCTGTCTCAAAAATAAATAAACGTTAAAAAAAATTTTTTTTAAATAAAAAATAATAAATAAATAAATAAACAAATAAATAAAATAAAACTTTTAACTCTGAAAAAAAAACGTGTAGCCAGCCTTGAGAACAACTCATATCCTTTGGGATATTGCCCTTTGTTAACCTGGCGTGAATCAGAAAGAGTGTGACAACAGAAGGAACGCCAGGGGATCAGGTTCTGGACCCAGCTGTATGACAAGGTGAGCAACCTTCAACAATGCATGTAATCTCTTTGGAATCCACTTCCCTTTTCTGGAACATGAAAGCACCGTACTGGGTAAATTAAGAGGTTTGTTTCTTATTCTAACAGTCTATTAATTAAATATTAAAAAAACAGTTTTGCATTGATGAGTTCATTGGAAATGGTTTCTACAACACTGTTTTTAGTAGAATAATAGATTATGCACTCTTCGATGCAGCTTTGTATTTGGCTGGCTTCGTTTATCAAAGATTCCTACACATGGCTAATTCTGGAGGATCCTTTTAACCCACTGTTGGAAGCGGGGATTCCATCTTTTCATTATCATGAATCAGTGGGACGCATCAGCCATGAATAAAGATGCCTCGCTGTGAAAAAATAGATAAATAAAATGCAATGTCTGCCCAAAGGAGAGTCTCGTGAAGGGAAACAAGTATAGGCTATGAGGGGATTGTCATGGGAAACAAGGGGATGAAAACATGACAGCCTGAAGGGGAAATAACTTTTCCTTTAACTCTGATTTGAAGCCAAATGCTGCTTGAATCAAAGCCGGCTGTCCCCCAGAGCTGAGTCTGCCACCGCGCAGGGGATGAGTGTCGTGTGCCCCAGGTGGAGGGAGACTTCGATTTTTTGCAAGAAACAACAGTCTTCCACACGCAGAGGTTTTGGTGTGTTTTCCAATGACACGGTTTTCAAGGACTTCTAGGCCCCTCCCTTCTCTTGGTTAAGGATGGAGCTTGGAATACTCCCACGGAAGAGGGAAATTTAGGGCTTTTTATTTGTAGGGCAAACAACCATCCCGAATTTCAGGGTCTGAGAGGTCTCCTGGGATGCAGGACTTCCAGGGTAACACCCACAGTTGGGTCATCTTGCTCAGAAGAGACAGGAGGCTGCATCAGGTTCTACGTGTGAGCCTGGCTGGTGGCGTCACCTCCCTACCCTGAAGCTGAAGTCCTCCCCAAGGCGGTGGGTGAGGTGACACATCCCTGCATCCCTGCGGGGGTGGCCAGCTGGGTGGGCACATGGGTGGGTGTGAGCAGTGGGTCCGTGTGAAGAGTTTTGTCCCGAGTGGAGGGCCATGGAAGATGCATCATCAGGTCGGCAGGCATCTGGGTGTTTACCACGGGGTCTTGTCAAAATTCAGTCATTCTACTGCACTGCAATACTCAACCTGTCATCTGAAAACACCTTCGATGTCTGTGTCAACGTGCCTGACACGCCTCACGTTTGCCTCATTTGCTGTGTAAAGTTGACACTGGTTCTTGAAGAGTAACACGGATGTTCCAGGCAGCCCCCGACAGCTCTGTTGAGGCTGATTTGTCTACCTGCCCGCAGGGTCAGTTCACGGGAATCCCAGGCGGTGGACAGAGGTGAGGAGGTGAGGACATTTGGACAGCGGGGTGGAACGAGGAAGTACCTGCAATGCCTGACCTCCAACTTTCCAACTGTGGAATCATTTGCAAATAGAATGGCAGCTATGGATCCTCTCACCATAAAATGGCACTACTTACGTTTACCCTAAATTTGGCACACAAGGTCAGGATTCCCCGTGAGGCCCATCCCTTGTCCACTGGGTACAGGAATCAAGTTATGGTCCCGGAAACAGAGCCTGGGGGCTCTGACAGGCTGGGTGGGGTTCCCAGGTGCGCACAGGGGAAACCAGAGGGGAGAAATGTGAAGAAAGGGACTAAAAAGTGTTCCCACTCTGTCTGGGGTCAGTCCTCTAATGTCTGAGTATAACCAGGGAAGGCGGGTTATACATGAACCCCTGGAATGGCTGCATCTTCTAAGTTCTGAAGTTGCCATGTGAAATCTTCCCAGGGCTCCTGCCTCCCAGTCTTGGCCACGTTTTTCTGCTGGAGGCCTAAGGCAATGAAGGCTTGATGCTAGGGTGCTAAGAATAGGGGCCATGTGTGTGGAGCACCCACCTTGTATATGCACCATGCTAAGCCCTTCTCGTGTTAAAGGGCTTTTAGCTTTGAAGCCATTATTTTTCTCTCTAGCCTCAAGGGGGAAAATTCTAGAAATGGAGTAGTCTTAGCTGTGAAGTCCAAGGACACTTGACAATGATTAAGTAAAGCGCTGTGCCTTCAGATTTCGAGTGGACATTGAGAAGGTCCAGAGTACAAATTGCTTTCAGTTGCTGTAGAAAACACTGATTAGATATGCCAGTGGACACGCTTTGAGAACCCCCAACTGCTAAAAATATCATCATTATATTACTATTGAGTGTAAGTTGAATGGTTGCAACCTAGAAACTACACCAAAAAAGACAGTCTTCAAGGTGGTAGGGGCTTTAAAATTCGCTGCAATACCAAGAGCGTTCTTTCTCCCTTCAAATGGCTATGAAGGAAAAGAAAGCAACCCTACTTGGCTTTCAAAGCAAAATGTGATGCCTTTCTGAGTCTATTTGAGGTATATAGTAGTTGAGATTGAAAAAAATCAGTAAAGATTTTGTCTCAAAAAACTATTTAAAATAATTTTTGTATAAACCAATGCTCAGTTTTTAAAGTTGAAAAGCAATTTTTAAAATATTTGTTTAACTCTTCACGTTAAATAAGACTCACATAAACAACCAACGAAACTCAGAAACTCAGTTGGTTAAATTCCCTTAAGCATTTAAAAACTCTGTTCTCAAAATTTGATACATCTGAAGCGCCTCTAATTCCTGTCAGGACAGACTTACAAACCCAGCAAGCGAATTCTTTCTAAGCACTTAGCTCTTATAAATGTATAGGTGGATAAATCAGGTTGTCTGCCAACTTAATCAAATTCTCTTATTCCTTTCAACCTAAAACCACAAGTCTACAATCAACTGAGAATTTCAAATCACACCCCCGGGCTGCTATGTCATATACTCTAGTGTGCTGAAATCCCATGTATGTTTCTAGTGACTTAACATGACACATATTTTATTAAACGATGATTGCATCGTTTATTCCTCAATTCTACACCAAAGTATTAATACTGTGGGTTAGAGTGGCTTCATTATCTCTAAGTTTTTGATTCACCTTCCTGATTACCAAGTTTTCTCAGTAGTCCAGAGGGAGCCAGCTTGCATCTGAGGCACAGTTCTGGAATGTGACTCAAGACCCAGTTTTCGTTCCCAAAGTTTGGACCCAGACCCAGCATCTGGGCACCACATTCAGAATGATGTGCTCACAGGGTGATAGATAGGACCTCTCAACGCCTTACTTCTCATACCTCCTGATGTTTTATGCTGTCTCCCTACCCAGTCTTTAAAAATAGCAACCTAATGATTCACAACTTTAAATTCCCTGACTTAAGTTGATGAGACCCTGCACCCCCTCAGGGTTGCATCTGGTTTCTCGTCTGTCTGACCACATTCTGCATCCAAAGGCCAAAGAGCTCCTCACCCCCCAGACTGCAGGCTTGCTCACAGCCTGCACTGAGAACCACAGCAGACTGTCTACACCACAGGTGCATATATGGTATTCGGGATTATTTTATCGTGTCTTTCGAGGGCTGCTTTACTTTACTACTACACTCTCGCAAGCTCATACTCTCCCTCTCCATCTGTTCTTAAGGTTTTCCCATTTGCAGTCTTTGGTTTCCTTTGAAGTGATCAAAGCCTAGTTTTCTCTTTGTTACTTGAGTTGAAAGAACTACCTTTTTCTGATTATCCCTTAACACCACAGAGAGTACTGAGTTGTTTTGAAAACAAAAATTCCCTAACATGAATCTTTTATTCCCTTTTATCTTTACTTACCTTATGTAACTCTTAATTTCTAAGATGTAGCTCAATACATATCCCATATCCCTTAGCCCCCAACGACTCCCCCCAAAAAACCTACAAAGGAAAAAAAACCCAATGCCTCTACTCTTAATGGTGAGCTCTATTTCTGTTCTCTCTTTTCAGGATTTAGTCCTCTGCAGTCTCGTGATTGCCCTCACGCTGTATTCGACACAGGCTGGAGGAAAGTGTGTTTCATGAAGGTAGTTTCTCGTGCTCTGCTATCCCCCGCAGCACAGCGAAGAGGTTTGAGCTTCTCACCATAAGCTGCGGGATGGTCTTTAACTTCCAAGAACATACAGTTGGATTGGAGGTAAAATGGCTATTTTTTTTTTTTTTTTTGGTATCAGAATATCTCTAGTTTAAAGATGAAAAGTAGAACTGCGTGGAGGAAGAAAGATCATATAGGGGCGTTCATCGTCTTACTCCCAGTGAATCCTATTTTTTATCTCCCAAAGTAGAAGTCAAGATTCATGTACAGATGCTTTTTTCATTACACATACCACTTTCCCCATGAGATTAATGAGCACTGCCATGTTTCGCCTCCGTTGCCAAGCAGGAGGAGTCATTAGGGAACGTCCCAGAGACGTAGTATTGACACCTGAGCGAAGAAATATGGGGGAGCCAATGTTCATCCTATCTTTTGAATTTTTTATCCTTTTGGATGAAATTTTGGATGAATTTTTTATCTTGTTGTCAGTAGCTTCAGCGAAAGTGATTTTTTTTTTCACTTCAGAAGTCTGGGTGATGGCTGCCAACATTTGTAACCCAACTCAAGATGGTTAGACATTTCAAAGGTAGAATACGTGAAGGTCTACTTGTTTTAATAATAATGCCATCCTCTCAGATGTTTATAGATGCCCAGATAAACAGATGGGCTCATTCTATATCTATGACCCTGACAACCCAAGAGGCTTTTAAGAGTGGCAGAGGGTCAGGGGAGCCTGGGGGGCTCAGTTGGTCGAGTGTCCGACTTCAGCTCAGGTCACGATCTCGCGGTCCGTGGGTTTGAGTCCCGTGTTGGGCTCTGCGCCGACAGCTCGGAGCCTGGAGCCTGCTAAGGATTCTGGGTCTCCCTCTCTCTCTGCCCCTCCCCACTCATGCTTGCTCTCACTCTGTCTCTCTCTGTCAAAAATAAATAAACATTAAGGAAAACTTTTTTTAATGGCAGAGGTTCGCCATCTCGTCAAAATCACTATGTGTGAATATGAATGTTCATGCACATATGCACATATATCTCGACATACATATGTGTGGAGACATGCACATATATGAAACTCTCTTAAAGTATGCCGCTTTAACTACCTGTGCAAAAACAAATATCATCAATTATACATATGTAGTGAAAAAAAATCCTTAAATGACCTCAGAGAAAAATGATACTAATACCAAAACAAATATCATTCCAAAAATCCTGCCCATTGGTGGCAATATTTTTACTGGTTATTTTCTGATGTAATTTTAGTCTTCCCTTACAAAAACCCTCATATGTCCTCATAAGGTGGAGACCCAATTTGGAAGTTGAAGAAGACAAACTAATTCAGATGACATAGTCTCTCATAAGTTGGTTCAAGTGTGGAAATAAAAAATCACCAACCTCCCTCCCCCAGGTGTGCTTGAAAAATATTTTGTGGTGCCCAAATTTAGCAAACCCCAGTGCTTCAAGGAACCCAGTTTGAAACTCCTGATTTTGGCTTGTTTACCTACCCTCAAATGATATAAGATAAAAGGCATTCTATTTTAAATTATAAATAATCTGTAGCTCTTTAGGGAGAGAAAATAAACTGAAAACCATTCTAAAAATGTGCGCAAAAAATGAACACACCTTGTCTCTGCATAGTAAGATTCATCTTATAAAGAGCATCCCTGTAAACCTCAGAATCCCATGAAGTGTGGAGAGAGGCTGGTATCATTTTTAAGCCCATTTAACAGAACAGGGCACCGAGGCTTGGGGCGTTTAGCTGCTTTATTTAGGGTTAAAGAAGAGATGATCCGGGTCTTTGGACTTTAAGTTAGTGTGGTTTCCCTGTATCACATGTGCGTGGGCTGTTTACACATGAGTTTGCAATCAGACCGAATCCCGAGTCCTCATTCCGCTGCTCAGTCCTATTAGCCTAGCTCCTATCAGCTCTAAACCCTGTGCAACACATCTTTCTCTTTTCTGCCCCTAACTTGAGTCCTATTTATACAGTGGCCCGAGTGAAGGTGAGGACTCAGGAGCTCACAGGAGAGCTTGCCAGTTCTGCTCCCAGCTCACAGACCTCCCTTCCGCTCCCCGCTGCACTCCCCCAGCCCCCTGAATGGGAAGCCCCACCCAGGTTACACATCAGTCAAGTGCCCCAAACTAAATGAATCTCCGAGAGCGAGGCCCAGGCTTCAGTATTGTTAAAAAACTTCTCCAGATGATTTTCACTGTGGCCAGGGTTAAGATATCCAATCTGTCCTTGTCACTCTTGCCGAATGAGAGAACTCTTCCCTCTTGCCCTATTGGCTGGAGCTCCAGCATGCAGGAAGGAGTGGGTGTCAGCCCATTGTCTCCATGACCCGTGTGCATGCACCTGTGTGTTCACTCTGTTATGATGCACTTACCAGCTATGACATCGACGTTACTTAGAATACTACTTATCATGCTTAAATGGGCATGGGGATCACCTGAAGATCCTATTAATGTTCCCAGTCAGTGGGTCTTGGTTGGGGACGGCAATTTGCATGGCTAAACCAGCTCCCAGGGGGCGTCAATAGCTGTGAACCGCAGGCCACACTTTGAGGAGCAAAGATGTAGAACATCGAACTGATCAGTCAGTCTCATTTTACATGCACATACATATACGCACAAGTACTCTATTTTGTTGATTGTAATAGACATTTTTTCCACACTTCAACAAATGTGCAATTGAAATGCGTCTTGCAAACAATGACGGCTTAGGCTTGATGTTGACCAGGAGACAGCAGACGCGGTTCCCGTTGCCTCTGTGTGGGGAGACTTAGTCCTAGCCTTCGTCCTGGCTGTCTTATTGATGGTGCTTTGATAAGTCATGAGTGTGTTGTAGCTACAGGATTGAGTTTCACTGACACTAAAATATCTCCAAAAATTACATATAATTTTTCCCTTAAAGAAAAAGTTATTAAATAAAAAAGCATGAAAACAGAGCAGCAGGGTATAAATGTGTGTTGGTCGAGCGCATATGGCTCTTTGGTAGAATGACTAGATTATCTAACTTACTGAAAAGTGACCATCAGAGGCTTAACGACAGATTGCAACATCTGTTTAAAATATTCACTGCCCTTCCATTCGACCTCTCCCTCCGGGGCCCCTCCTTCCTGTATCTATCTGTGGGAGGAGCATACCCCACACCCAATCCTGACACGCTTGGCCACGTGAGCATGAGTTAATGGCCTGGGAGTAGAGTGACGTATGTATTTCTAAGCACAAGCCACAGGAGCCACCACCACCCATCTACTGTTTCTCTTCCCCTCTGCGCTGAGGACTGCGTGCCTCTGATAGGGGCCCTGCCCTCAGCCCAGACCCCAGAATGAGGGCCTGTGGAGCAGAGCCACAGCCAACCTGCAAAGCACATTTAACAGGAGCGAGAACTAAACCCTTTGCTGTTTTAAGCCCCGGCGATTTAAGTGGTGTTTGCCACCATGGCACAACTTACCGAAAGCTGACCAAGAGAAGGATCTAAGAAAAGAAGTAGGTGAAAAGGAATTAGTACTGAGATATATGACATGCAGAAGGATTGCCTAGTGCAGGGCAACCCATGCGAGCAAAGGCAGGAGACATTGCCAGATCCCTGAGGAGAGAATAAAGGTGCTCAGAGTAAGGAGAGACTGGTGTGAACAATACAGTGCTCTAGTACCCAGACCGTCATTAAGGCATCCTGCTTCACTTACAAATTATTTTTCTTAGTCGTTTGAAAGATAGAAGCGTGTCTTATAATCAGTGTTGTCTTGGAATCATGACCCAGTCACTGGTTCCAGTGGAGGCGCCATGTTGTATTTTGGTGTGTGTGTTGGGGCAGGGGTCTCGTCCCGTTCATACGCTCATCACTTGGGTGCCCCTTTCCCCAGCATTTTGATTTAAAGTCTGTCAAAGGATTTGTTCATTTCAAGGCTACCTAATGAAGAAAAGGACTATGTGTAGGTGTGTCCTCTAAATAAGGAATCAATTGGGCCATTTTTTAAGGCAAAATTGCCTGTGATCAAGCTCTCCCGGCTCACAGGTCCATGCTCTTTTTTTGTTTTTCATTTGGATGGCCACCCTTTTTTTTTAAAGTTATAATTTCATTTTTTAAAACTTATTTATTTATAATAAATTTTTAAAAGTTTTTACTTAAATTCCAGTCCGTTAACATACAATGTAATATCAGCTTATGAGTACCATAGAGTGATTCAGTAATTCTATACATTACTCAGCGCTCGTCATGATAAGTGTGCTTTTTAATCTCCATCACCTCGTTGATCCATCCCCTGGACTCCTCCTTTCTGGTAACCATCAGTTTGTTCTCAAGAGTTAAGAGTCTCTTTCTTGGTTTGTCTCTTTCTCTCTCATTTTTTTCCTTTGCTCGTTTGTTTTGTTTCTTAAAGTCTACATGTGAGTAAAATCATATGGCATTTGCTTTTCTCTGACTGACTTATTTTGCTTAGCATAATAGTCTCTAGCTCCATCCATGTTATTGAAACTGGCAAGATTTCATTCATTTTATGGCTGAATAATATTCCAGTGCATATACATACCATGTCTTCCTTATCCGCTCATCTATCATGGACACTTGGGCTGCTTCCATAAGTTGGCTACTGGAAGTAATGCTGCAATAAACATAGGGGTGCATGCATCCCTTTGAACTAGTGTTTTTGTGGGGCGCCTGGGTGGCGCAGTCGGTTAAGCGTCCGGCTTCAGCCAGGTCACGATCTCGCGGTCCGTGAGTTCGAGCCCCGCATCAGGCTCTGGGCTGATGGCTCGGAGCCTGGAGCCTGTTTCCGATTCTGTGTCTCCCTCTCTCTCTGCCCCTCCCCCGTTCATGCTCTGTCTCTCTCTGTCCCAAAAATAAAAACAAACAAACAAAAACAAAAACAAACAAAAAAAAAACCGTTGAACTAGTGTTTTTGTATTTTGGGGGGTAAATACCCAGTAGTGCAATACTGGATCATAGGGTGGTTCTATTTTTAATTTTTGGAGGAACCTCCATACTGTTTTCCATAGTGGCTGTGCCAGTTTTCATTCCCATCGATAGTGCAAGAGGGTTCCCCTCTCTCCACATCCTCACCAACACTTGTTGTTTCTTACGTTGTTGATTTTAGCCATTGTGACAG